CCCCCCACTTTTAATCTGCATGTGTCTTTAGGTCTAAAATAAGTCTCTTGTAGGCAGCATATAGATAGGTCTTTCTTTTTTTATCCATTCTGACACCCTATTTCTTTTTCTTTTTAAGAGAGGGTAGGGAAGGAGCAGAGATAGAGGGAAAGAAATAATCTTAAGCAGTTTCTGGGCCCCCTGTGGAGCCCAATGCAGGGTTTAAACTCACAACTCTGAAATTGACCTGAGCCAAAACAAGAGTTGGGTTCTTAACTGACTGAGCCACCCATGTGCCCCTTAGGCCCTATATCTTTAGACTGGAGTATTTAATCTATGTACATTCGAAGTAATTATTGATAGATTTGTATTTATTGCCATTTGATTGTTTTGTGATTGTTTCTGAAGACGTTCTCTACTCCGTTATTATTTTTTTTCTCATGTTTTGCTGATTTTCTTCAATGATAAATTTGGATTTGATTCTCTTTATTCTTTGCATATTTTTATGTGTTTTTAATATAGGGATACCATCAGTTTTATATACAACTTCTCTACTTATAGGAGTCCACATTAAGTTAACAATCATTTAATTTTGAACCCATTCTTTTCTCTTCTACTCTCTACATTTTAAATATATGCTTTGTATCTCTTTTTAGTTCCTTGACTGATTTTTTTTTACAGAAATTATTCATTTTTACTGTTTTTGTGTTTCTTGTAACTGTAGTGTCAATTTTGGTCTCTCTTTACAGGCAAAGTTAATAATTCTTGCAGGGCTGGTTTACTGGCCAAGAACTCCTTTAGTTTTTGTCTGTCTGAGAAACTCTTTATCTCTCCTATCCTGACTGATATCTTTGCTGGGTAGAGTATTCTTGGCCGCATATTTTTTTCCATTCAGCCCTTTGAATATATCATGCCACTTTCTTCTGGCTTACAATTTCTGTTGAAAAATATCCTTCTAGCCTTATGGGTATTCCCTGCTAAGTTAGGGAGTTCTTTTGTCTTGTTGCTTTTAATTTTTTTTCTTTATTACTATGTTTTGCAAACTTAACTACTATATGTCTTGGTGTGGGTCTGTTTTTGTAGGTTTTGATGAAAGCTTTCTGTTCCTCTTTGATCTGGATGTCTGTTACCTTCCCCAGATCAGGGAAGATTTCAACTATTATTTCCTCAAATGATTTTTTTCTGCCCCTTTTTCTTTCCCTTCTTCTGGGACTCCTATAATATGAATGTTATTATACTTGGTGAAGTCACTGATTTACCTAAGTCTATTCTTATTTTGTATAATTCTCTCCTCTATCTTGTTCAGCTTGATTACTTTCCATTACTCTGTCTTCTAGGTCACTAATTTGTTCGTCTGCTTCTTCCATCCTACTGTTCATTCCATCAAACATGTCTTTCATTCTTTTTATTGAGCCCTATATCTTTGTTATGTTATTCCTTATCTCTGTGTTAAGTGTCTCATTCATGTCTTTCCCTCTTTTTTCAAGTCCAGTGAGTTTCAGTGCTTTAAATTCTCTATCAGGCATGTTACCTATATCTGTTTCATTTAGATCTCTGGCTGTGATCTTGTCTTGTTCTTTAATTTGGGATAAATTTCTCTATCTTCTCATTGTGCTTGCCACTCTCTGTCTGTTTCTGTGTCAAGAAAGCCACATATGCCTTATGCTCTTGAAAGTAGTGACTTTATGAAGAATAGGTCCTGGAGTTCCTTGTGGTGCTGTGTCCCCTGTTCACTAGAACCTGACACTTCAGGAAAGTATCCTATGTGTTGCTTATGCCCTGCTGCTTTGTGTGAGTCACTTTTCCTTTCAGTGCTTTCTTCTGCACTATCTGCCCGTTGTGGGCTGTTTGTGTTTGCACTTTGTGATGTTAGTGGGACCCAGGAAGGCCAGCTGTAAGAGGACATGCCCACTGGGAAATGGGAACTAAGCAGGGGTGTTAGCAAAATTTGTGCTGGGCCATTAGTCCTATGTTGGATGCCCCCAAAGTGCTGTGGCACCTGGGGGCTGCATGCAGGGGCTTGGGGCATGAGACTGGGTATAGTGCATGATGGTGTCTAGGGGTGCATCATTGGGTGCATGTAGCAGATGGGGACATTGTGAGGCAGTAGTTCTGTGCCTGGCAGTTGGCAGGATATGTGTGTGGCTTTAAAAAAATTTGTCTTGAGCCCAGGGCTGAGACTAGCAGGCTTGGAGTGGCAAGTTCTCAGGAGAATCTATGGGTAGGGTGCACTGCTAGCTGGTTACATAGTGTCTTGTGCAGACCCACCTCTGACACATGGCCCTGTGTTTATGCTGGGGAGTAGGGGAGGAAAATGGCACATGCCACCTCCCTCCTTTTCAGGGAAGTCCACTAACAAGCTCTGAAATCAGTAGGAAGAGATCCATCTTTCCTTTGTCTCTGGTATTGTGTAAACTGGCATTTTTATGTTGCCTCTCCATGCAGTCTGCTGTCTTTTTATGTGTGGTGATGCAGCTATCACTTACCCTCATGGCTTGCCCAGTGCTGAATCAGCTGACTTTTAAAGCTCCAGGACCCAAGTTCCACTGGTTTTACAGACTCACAGAATTTAGCTCCTCTGGTTTTTAGACACATATTATGGAATAGTCTTCCCTGTGTGAGCTGTCTGGTGTGAGGGCCCATTCCTCTACCCTCTCTATGTGTGCAGCCTCCTCTCTCCTGGGGGCAGTCTCCCTTTACCTTTCTGACCTTCCTAACCTATCAGATGCATCTTCTTCTCTATATTTAGCTGTGAAGTTTATTCTGTCAGTCTTTGGATTGCTTTCTGGTTTATAGACTTGGATGTGGATGATATCTAGTTGTAAACATGGGATGGGGAGAGCTCAGGATCCTCCTATTCTGCCATATTCCCAAGTTCCTAAAGGTGCCTGTTCTTGAGTAGCCTTTCTTCAAATAGGAGATTAAAGTGGCAAGCACATGAAAAGATGTTCAACATCATTAGTCATTCAAAAAATGAAAATTGAAACGACAATGTAATACCACTTCACATCCACTAGGATGGCTATAATGTTAAGAAATGGAAAATAACAACAATGATGAGAATGTGGAAAATTGGAACCCTCCTATGTTGATGGTAAAAATATAAAATTTTGTAGCCAATTTGGAAAACAGTTTGGCAGTATTGCAAAAAGCTGAAGTTGTCATATGACTAATTCTACTCCTAGATGTATACCCAGGAGATTGGAAAACATGTCCATACAAAAATGTGCATGTGAATGTTTGTAATAGTATTATTCATAGTAGCCAAAAAGTGGAAATACTTCATATGTCTATCAGTTGTTGAGTGGATAAACAAAATACGGTCTAACTTTACAATGGAATATTATTCATTCATATAAAAGAATGAAATACTGACACATGCTTGAATATTAACTGTAAAATCATTATGCTAAGGGAAAGAAGCCAGTCACAAAAGACCACATCCTGAGTGTTTCCATTTATATGTAAAGTCCTAAATAAACAAAACCATAGAGGAAAAAAAGTAGTGATTGTAAAGGTTGGGGGAGGATGGAAAGGGAATTAATGTTAATGGATATGGGTGTTCTTTTTGGAGAGATAAAAAACATATGGAATTAGCTCATGTTGATGTTTGAGTACCTGTGAATTTACTAAAAATCACTGAACTGTGCACCTTAAAAAGTTGACTTTCGTGGTATATGAATTAAATCTCAGAAAAAAAAAACTTACTGAGAATCTTCTACTTGTCCCAAAATGTTGGCATTTAGTAAAAAAGGTGCAACAATATGTAACACATAATGTGTTTCATTAGAGCATAAATTTGAGTTTTAGTAAAAAAAATGCATTAATAGAACAATAATATATTGCAAAATGAAGATTAGATTAATAATAAAATATAGAGAAATTAAGGTAATCCATGTGAAACAGAAATGTTGCTTTCAATTTTCAGAATGTGGACAATTCTGATATGCAAATTGCAATAAATTAATAAGAATTTGGTTACATCAATGTGTGGGAACTCTACAGAAAATTAAAAACATTGTGGGAATTAGACCATATAAATTCTCTTAGAGAAACTTTTAATTTCAGCCTTGTAGGGTAATATACAGGCTGTTATATTTTCAGTGCTGTGTAAAAATCATTATTGGCAAATCTAGGAAATTATAATTTTCTAATATCTTCAAATTTATTCTAGTTATTACTATAAGGATAAGTGAGAAATACAATCAATTACAATAAAGATGAAGGTTGTTATTGTTTAATCAAATAGACATTTTATATAAATGCCTAATAATAGCCACTTTTATTTATTTTTTATTTTTTTAAAGATTTTATTTATTTTTGACAGAGAGAGAGTGTGTACATGCAGGGGAAGCATCAGGCAGAAGGAGAGGGAGAAGCAGTCTCTTTGCTCAGCAGGGAGCCCAATGTGGGGCTCGATCCCAGGACCCTGGGATCATGACCTGAGCTGAAGGCAGACACTTAACCATCTGAGCCACCCAGGTGCCCCAATAATAGCCACTTTTAATTTAAAGTTTAAAAAATAGTTATTTCTAAGAACTATTTTACATGGCCTTAAAGGTTGAAAGAAGGAGCTGATAACACTATAATTCCCCCCTTCTAAATGCTTGGGAATTAAGTGAAGAAGGAACAAAACAATCAATACACAGGTATGAGGAAAAATATATCTGAAAACAAGTGCATATGGTTAAATAATCCTTAAACAATGAAGAAGCACAGCAAAAATCAGTGGATGGACTCTAACTTTTTTCTTAGATAAAGCAAAGATCATCAGACTTATACCAGGTTCAAAGTCAGGTTGTAAAGTTAAGTACTCATAGCTAGCAACCAGTGATATAACTGAAATTCACTGGGGATAAAATGATAATCTATGATTATCTCCAAATCCACCTACTTTACCTATAATTTTTACATATTATACCAAATAAAGCTATTTTAAAATTGAACAAAAGTGGAAAAGAAGTCCAATTAGAAGGAAGAGGATGTTGAATAAGGTCAACATTCAAAGATATTTGATGAAGTTACATTAACTTTCCTTTCCTCAATAGTTTCTGAAGTCCCCTGGATACCTCTTTGTTGAGGAGGCTGTAGATGAGAGGGTTCAGCATGGGGGTGAGGATGGTGTAGAAGATAGATACTATCTTGTCCTGGTCTGGTGTGTGGTTAGAAGCTGGTCTCATGTACATGAACATAACAGCACCGTAGTAGAATCCAACCACAGACAGGTGGGAGGAACAGGTGGTGAAGGCTTTGCGGTGACTTTCTGTAGAGCTCATGTGGATGACAGCTCGGAGGACATGTGAATAGGAAATTATGATCACAGAGACTGGTAATATTAGCATCACCACACAGCAGATGAAAAGCAGTCTTTCAAAAGCAGAGATGTCTGTGCAAGATAGAGGGAAAAGGGCAGCAACATCACAGAAAAAGTGATGAATTTCTAGAGAGCTGCAGTAAGAGAGTGACAGGACTTCTACAAGCACAATAATGCCATCAAGGGAGCCCAAGATCCAGGAAGCAACAGTCATGAGAACACAGAGTTTCTGATTCATGAGGATGGTGTATCGAAGTGGGTGGCATATAGCCACATAGCGGTCCTAGGCCATGACAGCCAACAGGAAACATTCAGCTCCAAGCAAGGACACATAGAAGAATATCTGAGCTCCACAACCTGCCAGTGATATTGACTTGCTGCCAGACAAGTAGTTGAAGGCCATCCTGGGTACAGTAGTGCAGATGAGCATGACGTCCATGAGGGAGAGTTGGCTGAGGAGAAAGTACATGGAGATGTGGAGGTGGGTGTCCAGGTAGATGAGGAGAATCATGACAGTGTTTCCCAAGAAGGCCACTGAAAAGATGCCCAAGACCAGTGAGAAGAGGAAGATGTGGGTGGGGCTGTAATTGAAGATTCCCAACAGGATGAAGTCAGAGCTGAAGGTCTGGTTTCTCCACACCATTCCAGATAATTTGCCTTATCTGGAACTTCCAGAGAAGACTCAAGCTTATTTATTAGCTTAATTTTCAAATGCATACTGTGGCAATGCCCTCAAGTGGGTGGTGTACTGGATGTATGTGTACGACCATGTCACCAAACTTCAGTTAACTCCCCTTTGGTCACAATAAATTATGTCACTTGATCCAGTGCTTTCTAGTTGTTTCCTCATTCAAACTCTACAAACAAAAACTTCAATAGGGTTTTTATTTATTTTACAGAAAGAAAACTGAAGTACATAAATGTTTACTGACTTACCCACAGTTACAGGTCAATAGAGAATTTAGTAGAAAAAGGTATCACAATCTGTTGGTAATTTTATGAGTGTCCCTGATCACAGAACATTCCCTTCTCACCTTTATATAGTTTTGTCCAATCCTGTGTCTAGTTTGTAAATTCCTCTTCTCAATTCCTGCTATAATCCCATCTGCTTCCCATTGTGTCACACCAGCCCAGTAAAAGACTGTATGGGATCAATATCATTACTTCCATAGGGGGACATGTATACCTTAATTAGAAGAAGGCTTTAATACTGCACATTTTAACTTTTTCGTCTCAGGCAAAGCCTTGGAGTCCTGTCTTAATATAAACATCCATTAAACTAATTTCCTAAGATATAAAAAGACATTCACTTCTCTTTTGAGAATAATTTTACTTCTCTCAACTTGTATGGGGAGAGGAGTCTTTGTTCTGTTGTTGTTGTTGTTTTTCCTTTTTGTTTATTTGTTTTGAAAAATTGATTTCATCTTGCTGCAATTAAATAAGTTGAGTGGCATCATCTCTAGGGAACAAAAGAAAACCCCTCTGCTTTCTTTAAAAACTTCACTGCAATGTGCTATTTTGGGGAGTGAAGGGGCATGGGTTCCACCACAGTCAGTGAAGGCATCACCCTGAGAAATAACCAACCCATTGTAGTTCAAGATGGACAGAATCAGGGATGTACTAGAATGTGGTACAAACTGCACTGCAAAAATGAGCCAGGATATGTATAGGAATAAGATCACAGAGCCTGAATAACATAATTCAATTTTTTTAATTTAAGGGATTATCAAGGAAATTTTTTTCTATTTAGTACCACAACTTAGGTGTATTACTATGTACATCAAATTAAATAATGTATACTTCTAAGGACAGAGCACTACCTTAGAACTATTCTGTAAGTTACATTTTAGTGGAATATGGCCTGTGCCTATCACAATATTCTACTTATGATGGGTAAATTAGTTTGAAATATGTTTGTTGTTTAATTTTCCCTAGGAAATATCCTGTTTATATACTGATATTTCAAAGGAACTTCTGTTAATTATAACTAATCTTCTAAAAGTAGGTAAACTAATTAATAAAGACCTTTTGGCTTATTTTAATGACACACAGAAATGGCATGACTGTATTTATTTTCACAGAATTAAAATGTTATACCAGTATTCCAGGAGAACAATTTCATTCCCAGTTCTAACATTTGGACATAGCAAAATGCCGTATGGAATGAAATATGCCAAATATTGAAACCAGGGAATAACTCTTTTTAGATCTCATATTTACTTATTTGCATAACTAATATGTATTTGGCACTTTCACCTATTTTAATGATAAATATGTATTGAGAGAATCTAAATTTCCTGCAATAAGAATATATCAATATATTGATAACTATTTAAATGTATAATAAATACAACCTTGTTCCCAAGGTAGTCAACATAAAGAAATGCCAGCTTTTTTCCTTGTTCTCTTAATGTAAAAATAAGATTTATGGTTTCATAAGTGCCAACTTTTTATATGAAATTTCAAAAATTCTCATATCCTAGCTAGAGCATCTTAGTGTTTCTCCATTATTTCATGCCAACTATTAATGGAAAATGAAGAAGACCAAGGGAGATGAAAAATAAAAAGATACTCTGAAGAAGTTACTTAGTGAGAAAGAAGTTGAGTATGTGGAAGGAGAGGTATATGAGGAAAATGAGTGATAAAATAGAGCTGAAAATAGAAAGAGATAAAACGTTGAGGATAGATGGCTTTTGATAATTAGAGACTTTGAAAGATTAATGGAAATGGAAGGAGAGACAACATAAATCACAGACCTAGTAGAGGGATCTAGGTCAGCACAAATATTTGGGAGAATGCCCAACTACACTGGGTCTAGCTTTTCACATTGTGATACAGACTGACCTGAGGATTCCCATCCACATATCCCAGCATATTCCATAGTTCCAGATTTTGGAAGAGTTTCACATACTGTACAATTTAGCTAGATCAAGTTTCACTGAATTATTTTTTTCACCTTTATTGTACTGCATTGGAGAATTTCATTAATTGGTGTATTTTATAAAATATACAGAACATAAGTAAGGAAACTGGGTTTTGTTTTGAGTCAAATCACTTCCCCCAATAATTTATAAACTAGGTGGTTTCCAAGGAATGTTTCAGGTCTGAATTTTCACTAAGTCTCTTTTAAAGCAGTATATATAGGCATTGGATGTAACTGCTTCTGTGAAGACATTTTGAGGTGTATATCTACTAACTGGAAGATACTTATGTTCATCATAAGGACTTAAATAAACATTTTTTAATAATTTCAGCATAATGCAATCATTAAGGAGAATGAGTCTCTTCTTTCTCTTCTCCCTTATTTTTGCATAAGGGAGAAAGAGAGCCCAGAAGTGTGAGGGAATTATGGCATTCCCAGAGTGTTGTGAAAATCTGCCAACAATATGGTGAATTTATAAAAAGTATGCATGATAATTTTAATACCCAGAGTGATGAATATTTATACTTGCATAATCCTTTATAACGTTACAAAAACTTTTTTATACACATTACCTCATTTTTTAAACACCAAAAGCTATTTGAGCTCAATGAAGAAGGTAACAGATTCTCAAAAAAAGAAAGAGTTTGTCTCACTTGTTAAACTTAAAATTGGTGATCAGGATATATATTTACCAAACAAATTCTATGATTTCTTGAAAATGATAATCTTTCCTTCTGTGTCTTCTTGGAAATAGTCAGCAGCAACTACTTAGGTGGTCAAAAAGGACCCACGTTTCCAGAAAATGAGCCATCGCATGGTATCACGGACTTCAAATCTTTTACCTCCACAGAGCATTGAGTGCTTTGACTTTAATTATAGGAAGACTTGCTCTCTTTCATAAACTCTCCTAGGAAACAAAATCCACATGGACCCCCAGATTCTAGTTAAATTTGTTAATATATGTCATTCTTTATTTGTAGAGTCATAAATTATGGCTTCTTACTTCTCTTTAGGAAGTAAATAGTATCAATAGTGATGAAGCTTAATATTTACAAATTAAAAAATAGAATTAAAACAGGAAATACTTACTGCAAAGTAAAATAAAATGTAAGTAAACTCATAGAAGCCTAATTATATGTGAAAATGTGATAAACAATTCAAATGGATCCAAAGGATTTATGGAAGTTCCTTGCAGCCCACCTCCCTAAGATATACCTGTTGTGATGGTCCCAGCCTGTGAATAGTGATGCTAATGCCTCGGGAGATCTGAGGCACTTGCCTAAGTCCATATACTCATAGTGAGACTCCACACACATTTCCTCCCTTGGGGCCAATGCTTTGGCTGGACTGGCCCTTGTGGTTCTTATTATGATCACTGGATGTACTTCAGCAAAAACCATCAGGGAACTTTGAGGAAGAAGACATTTTACTTAAAATTCCTGATGGTACACTCCATGCCGAGGGCCATAGAATGAGATTGCGGAGGGAGACGAAGGGAGGATTTGGAATTTGCCTTTATTAGGGCTCATGGATGGGGTGTCTGGGGTTTCAATTGGTCACTTATTTTTGGCTAATTTGAAGCATAAGAGTGGGAATTAGGGGTCAGGAAATTAAGGCATAGTCAATGAAGTTGTCAGTTATCCAGGATGCCCAGGGTTTTCAGAAAAGAGAACTTCATGGATGTTGTGGGGGGGTTGGCTAGTTCATTAACTGGTTGTTTTGCTAGTAAATGTGTCATATACCTGACAGTATGTTTATTTCAGATGGATGTCTTTTGATATGGATGCCTTGGCAATCAAAACACTGGCAGACACTTACACCAAATTCTCTTTATATTGTACTATTTGTCCATTACTCACTATACTAACTTTATAATGGCTCTACCTTCAGGCTTCTCTCCACTCAAAAAAGCCGTCACTTGTGTAAAGCAATGACATTTCTAAAATGCAAAGATTAATATTCCTTTGTATATGTGGACCACATCTTCTTTATTCATTCATCTGTTGAAGGACATCTTGGCTCCTCACACAATTTGGCTATTGTGGATATTGCTGTTATGAGCATTGGGGTGAATATGGCTCTTCTTTTCACTACATCTGTGTCTTTGGGGTAAATACCAGGTAGTGAGTTGCTAGGTAATAGGGTAGCTCTATTTTTAATTTTTTGAGGCACCTCCACACTGTTTTCCAAAGTGGCTGTACCAACTTGCATTCCCACCAACAGTATAAGAGGGTTACCCTTTCTCCACAACCTCTCCAACATTTGTTGTTTCTTGTCTTGTCAATTTTTGCCATTCTAACTGTTGTAAGGTGGTATCTCAATGTGGTTTTGATTTGAATTTCCCTGATAGCTAATGATGATGAGTATTTTTTCATGTGTCTGTTAGCCATTTGTATGTCTTCTTTGGAGAAGTGTCTGCTCATGTCTTCTGCCCATTTCTTGACTGGACTATTTTACTTTTGGGTGTTGAGTTTGAGAAGCTCTTTGAGGTCTTGATTATCAGCCTTTTATCTGAAATGTCATTTGCAAATATCTTCTCTCATTCCGTGGGTTGCCTCTTAGTTTGTTGACTGTTTCCTTTGCTGTGCAGAAGCTTTTTATCTTGATGAAGTCCCAAAAGTTCACTTTTGCTTTTGTTACCTTCCCTTTTGGAGACATGTCTAGCAAGAAGCTGTTGTGTCCAAGAGGTTACTGACTATATTCTCCTCTAGGATTTTGAT